CATTACATAAAGATAAATACAAACTATTAAACTAAAAGTTAAGATAAATGATAAATTAATCAAAACCTACTGTTGAAAGCTGTAACACTAAAAATAAAAAATACAAGTTGAATTATTGTTATTCAATTTTAAACATTTTTAACAAAATATTTGTTAAAAAAGCTTAAAGTAAACAAAGTTTTCAAAAGTAAAATAACTTCTTAAAATCTAACCTATAACGACAACAACAATAGCAACAACAACAATATATTTTTCAGCAAAATTATTAAATTGGTTACGTGAAAGAAATATTTTACTGTATGGTTCACTCTCATAAAGCATGGTTACCGAAGGATACCGGTAAAGAAGGATACCGACCATGAACATGAAAAAACTAAAAAAATAAAAAAAATTTATTTTCAAGATTAATAATAATCTGAAACAAACAAAAAATTAAAATGAAAAAGAAAAGGATAAATAAAATAAAACATAAAGAACATAAAGTAAAACATGAAGAATATAAAATCAAAAATGAAGGATATAAAAAATGTATAAATTTGTCAACTCATAAAATAGACAGATATTTAACTTGGTTTGTAGATAACTCCAATCAATAACTGCGGAGTGCGTAAGTAATGATTTGCCATAACATTTAATAGTTAAATGGTGGAACATTTAATCCACCTTTATGTCAATTTTGTATGTGATTCATTTATTATGGAAAACCATTCACTAAAAATAGATAGAAGTTTTTTGTTTAGGTACTGTGTATAAAGTAGGGATGTCCCAAAAGGACTCCGGCCCTATTTTTTTAATCTCTAGTTTTCTTGCTCTCTGGTGCCCAGAAGTTCCAAACATATTAATTGATTCAGTACCTGCTATAAGGAAAAATGAATGAGATTTAATGACTTATTGTTTTTATGCTCGGAGTCCCGGAGTCCTTTACATCATACCTAAGGATTCCGGGTTAAAAAATTGATTGGTCCTCTGACCTAAAAGTTCTAATTTTTTTACCATCAGTAGTCCATAAGCTATTATATATTTTTAGAGCTTCTGGATACCATAAACTAGGAAGAAGTAATCTTTTTGTGGCTTTCAAATCCGGAGACTTTTTTGGGACTCCCTCATCCCTGGTATAAGGCAATTTTCAATTTTGATGTTATTATAAAAATTTAAGATTTAATTTTTTTGAACTTTGAGCTGTAGTTCTTTAAATATCCCAACCAGACAATAACGCTGCAGCGTTATTGTCTGGTTGTGATATTTAATTTTTTATTAATTATGGGTTTTATATAACTTTAGTTAAATGTTCGATTATGTTTTATTATGAATCTAATTATTTAGTACATGTACTAAATAATTAGATTCATAATAAAACCCATAATAAAAAACAACTGATGCATGCTATTTATAAATAATTATATTGTTTATGGTTATGGCAGTAGACAGATTTAGATATATTTTGGAGATTTATAAACGTTAAAAAAAGGTTAAATTAGAAAATACAGATTTAAAAACCTAACCGCGTCTCAGCTAGCTTCTTTTTTTATTATTTCTTTATTTAATGTAAAATAAAACAATTTCTATAGGTATTGTATAAAATTTTACGGATATTATATACCCCTTTTCTTTGTGCGAACTCGACTTAATTAACCCACAAAAAATATCTATTCAACAAGTCCTCAATGAGTTTTCTATAATTTCTCGATCATTTGTTATACTATTTCCGAAAATTTGTCTTTTTGGGTTTACTGTTTATAGTAGGTTAAAGTTTGGAATAATTAACATTATTTAAAGCAAATTTCAAAGTTTTTTTAATTAAAACATTTTTTTTTTGTTATGCACATTTTGGTGTAACTTTTAATAGAATTTAGATGATTTTTTCGGTTTTAATTAAAAACATACAGCAATAAAATAAACAAATCTTTTTAAAAAAATATTTAACTTTTTTACCACAAATCGTTTTTTTATTTTTATAAAATTTTAAATGTTCATTAGTAAACATTTCAAACCCATGCTGAACCAGAATTTAGTTTGACGAAATGACATAGGGTTATACATTATTAGAATTGTTAAAACCATACCATTCAAGGAAAGTTAATATGAAAAATCTTCAAACTACTCTAAAAAATTTTTGGATTTATATGGAGATGTAAATAGGTACGATTACCAATTATACAGTCAATAATAGTACAATATATAGTCGTACGACTACCGAATATTTGATGGGTCGTACGACGGGCATAATAAAGATTAGTGGTTTAATTCATATTTCAAATAACTTAAATTTTTTTAAATAAACGTCACATGTAATTTGTAATTGTAATCAATTTCATTTGTTTTTTGATCTTTTATCTTCAAAGTAAAATTAAAGTGGATTTATAAGGATTAATTTGCTGTGGTTTTCTCAAAAATTTTAACAATTTTATATTTGTATGGATTATATTACGTATTTTTAATGTCCTTTTAGCGTAACGTTTTTTAACGTTTTTGTGTTATATTAAAATATGAAAGTTTCAAAAGACTTTTCATTCATTTATTTTAATGTAAAAATAAATAGTAATAGACACGCTTTGTAATAAATGGCAATCAAATTTGTAATAATGATAAAAGCAATTCATAAGATTTTTCCATCGAATGAATGATGTCAATTTTAATCGTTTTTTTTTTTACAATTTCAGAACTTGTAATTTTTTTACAAAAAATTACAAGTTCTGAAATTGCTATGCATTTTACGAATTTGTTCTTGTTGGTTATTCCTTCGCATAATCTTCAAACATATGTAGCAATACTTAGTACATTTAATCCGAAAAATTATTATCATATTTGATTAGTTAGTTTGTTTAGCTTCGCCAATCGAATTTAAGCGAACTCGGATACTGAAATGTCTATATATGCGTGCAAATAATCTTATCAGACAGATTAAGAGATGGTTATTAAAGACATGTTGCCTTTGTTTGTATGTTATAATTTTAGTGTAAATATTCTGTTAAATCTACCATCTTGATACAAAGAAATGTTCTAAAATGTTTTTTGGCTATGACAAGTAATCAAGTTTACAAATACGTTTATGAAATTATAATTGCCTCAATTGCTTAACTGATACATAAAAATAAGTTTGTTGCCTGCGCCAGTAACAATGTAGCTGTGTATGCAGTAAACAGAATTATAAATTGATTATGTTTACCTTAACTATGGACCTTTCGTAGTACTTGTTGTCTAAATTAAAGAAATAATAATACATACATACACAATTTATATTGTCATTTATTATTAATATTATTATTGTTGTTGTTGTTGTTTTTATATACTTTTAGTGTTACTTTTATAACTTTTAAAGTTTAGTGTCACTGCTTAAAACAAATTTGTTCTAAGCAGTGACACTAAACTTTAAAAGTTATTTATTATTATTATCATTAAATAAATACGTGTATACATATACATTGTATACACATTGGAACACAAGGATACACAAGGAACTGTTCATAATATACATCACTCATTTTTAGGAGCTTTTTTAACCCTTCACGCGCTCCTGTCGTAAAGTGTCATACTGACGTTACGCCCCTCCAACAGCGTGACGTAATTTATAAACAGCTCTCAAGGCTTTTTTTTCTATATTTTGAGGTGCTTTACTAAATGAAGATTTATGATTTAATAAAAATTGTAGACTACCAAAAGCTTCGAATGGAAATGAAGATTGAAAATAATTTTTCTTTACATACTTTTGAAGTACGATATTTAGATATTTAGGAAAAGTATAAACATTGTTCTAATTTTAAGGTTGAAATTGCGTTTGAAATCTTTTTGTCAATAATCTTAAAATAAACTTGTGAAACTTTGAAGTCTAATATCTAAAGAACAAATAAATATTTTTTTGAAAAATATTTTTGCATTGACCTTCTAGTACAAATAGCAACAACGTTAAAAGAATAGCAAATTTTGAAGACAGTCGCTATTAAGCTCTGCTTGGTTTTTACAGAAGCCGGCTATTGATAAAAGAAAAAGTAGTCACTATTTCTAAAAATTTAGTCAAATTTTCAAATCCAATATCTAGAGAACCAATATATATTTTTTTAAACTTTACTTAATAAGAGTACATACTAAAAAATAAGGAGATAATTAGGGAGATAATAAGTAAAATAACATATTTGAAAAAAATCACTATTGAGCTCTGCTTGATTTTTATAGAAAGTTGCTTTTAAGTAAATTAAACTCAAAAATGTCGTTGATACCTGAACTAAATTTAATTGATCTCAATTTTGTGTAACAAAAACCCATTTCTCTTCACAAATCGCAATTACAAGGGTCTTGCTCTAATTAACATTTTTCGCTGGAACACCCGCAATAATAACAATATTAAATATACGGTATAAAATATATATAAATACAAACGTTTTTGCAATGCCTGAATAACACCAATTTAAAACGCTAAAGTTATTTTTTGACTTACCAGTTTAAGTCTTAAATAACGGATTTCATTTTAAAATCACAAATTAAAAGAATGTTAAAAACTTTGTAATAAAATAGTTGATTTTGGATATTTTAACATCCTGTAAAATGTAAAAAGTAACATAAAGTCTAACTATTTTTTTAATAATTAAATAAAAAATTTTTAGCTATTGTTTTTTAAGATTTTGCTATTACTAAGAATTACATCGAAATAAAGTTATGAATAAAACGTTATTCATTTTAAAAGAAACTTTTGAAAACCTGCCGTAATATTAAGCACAAATACTTACTTTTGAGTGATGTTTTTTTTTTTTAATTTGCTTATCTTTTTTATAGGTTTTCGAAAATTTTTAATTATGCGTGACAACAAGTGACTTAATTGACAATTGATGACGTCACAAATATGACCGATAAATAGCTTTTTTACTGAGTATTTGTAATAGTAATTTGCCATGTGAATTTTTGTTTTATTTTTTGATGACCTTGACGATTTTGTCATATGTTTAATGACAATGACATTTAAAATAATTTTTTTTTAACAAGTCGGTTTTTTTTTTTTTCAATTCTAGGTGTGAAAGACTACTGCGAGCGGTATGGAACAAATATAGAAGCGATATGTAGAGAGCAAGAAAGCACCCGGTCATGGTCTGGTTCCACAATGGAGGCGATTCATCAAGCAATGTGTCAGAAAATTCCGCTTGAGTCTCTAAACGACAGACGCGCACTACGTGATCAACGACTAAGTGCACTTGCTGTTCATCGGAAGTACGCAGATCATAAATGATGTTATACAATTTTTTGTTCTTTAATATATAGAGAAGATAAAAACTAAATTTAGTTATTTTCGAATTTTTTATTTATACTTTTATTTATACTTTTTTTACTTTAATCCTAAAAATATGATAAAACATGCGTAAGATGAAGGAAATCCTATTTAATTTCAGATAAAGATATTGCATGTAAAACCTATTTAATTTCAGATAAAGATATTGCATGTGGAATATCAAATTTTTTGTTATAGCCATTAAAACTTGTGTCTCGGAAGGAACGATAGGTTCCTTCCGAGACACAAGTTTTAATGGCTATAACAAAAAATTTGATATTCCACATGCAATATCTTTATCTGAAATTAAATAGGTTTTTATAGGTAATAAGTTAGGTATAATTGCCCCCTTCTAAACGTTTTTTTTTTTTGACTTTTGAATCCTGCCTAGAAATAAATTCACAATGAGCAAAGCAACTAAAATTCCAATCTTTAGCTATTTTGATATTGATAAAAACAATCATTCAAAAGAAATTTTTAACTTTTTCAAAATAAAACTATCAAGTCAAGAAGCATCTGGAAAAAAATTTTTTGTAAATTCACATTTCTTGATTTTAAACATTTCTCCTTGTATAGTTTGGGTTATAAAGTAATAAAAATTCTGTTCCAGATCAAAAAAAGTTATTAAAAAAGTAGGAAGCTCTTGATTAAAACTTTCCAAAAATTAATTTGAAAGGTTTAGTGGTGGCAGGTATTAAGCTTATACAACCATTTTTGTTTATGGAATAATTGTATTTTTGCATACAATATAGAAACACAAAAATAAAAAAACTGATGTTTTTAAAAACATACGGCATCGGCCGACCAAAACCATTGGTTAATTGGTCAATGAATCAGCTGGCCAATGTATCGGTGCATTCCTAGTATAGACTAAGAAATCAGAAGTGAACTTAAATTCATGACCACGTAAAAATTAAGGAAAGTAAACAAAAAAATGTGTCAATGTATGAACTAATCTTACAAAAGAAAAAACAATGAAAAAGGTTAATTTAAAAGAAATAAAAAACTAATTTATAAATATCAATAATAATTTGATTATTTTTTGATTTTTTTTCAATGGTAAAATATTTAACAGTTTATTTTGGATTAACACTTTAGAGAATCTGGTTTTTCATGAGTCATTTAACTTAATTGTTAAATCTATGTGCTGAGTCATCAATAGAACAATTCCCACTCACTCAATCAACTCAATCGTTTAAAGCTTCTTTTTATTTACAAATATTTTTCATTTACTGTTTTTTTTTTTTTTTTTTTTTTTTTTTCTAGCATGTTTATGATTGAAATAAAGTTAAATTTTTTCTTAAAATTATTTTTTAGAATGAGTTTTAAGTATTTTATAAATTTGAAAACTTTATTTTTATTTATTTATATGGTTTCAAGTTTAGTTATCAGCTTAAGGATCTATAGCGCAGTGATTAGAGCGTTTAGTTAGTGTTTAGTGGTTAGTGGTTTACTTTAGCGTTTACTTCAGAATGGATAGGTCCCTGGTTCAATACCAGTTCTGGTCATAATTGTGGTAAAGAAGGCGGTTTGTACTAGTTAAACGCTCTTCCGCGGTGCTCTTTGACTAGTTAAACGCTCTTCCGCGGTGCTCTTTGACTAGACCGTAAAGACTTCTTAGAGCACCTTAATAACCAGATTAAAAAAAAACATTTTAGAAATTTTAGGGTATAGTGTTTAAAATGAACTAATGGCTTTATTGTAGTACAACAATGTTGTATTAGAAACACCTGTGCAAAAAAGCTAAACAGATATTTGTAATAGGGGAAAGCGGGGCAACATGGCGAATGGGGCAAGATGGGTTTTCATATAACAACTCAACAAAAAATTTTAAAATTGGGTGAAAACGAAACTGTATTTGCATCTTGTATTTTAAAACACTAATTGGCTTTTTGAAATATTATTAACGCAATTTTATACACATAAGTTTACTTTTAGCGCCTAAAAAAAAATTCCCTACTTTCGGTTTCTCATAATGGATGGTGCCCTTCAAGTATAACTTCTTTAGAAGTAGTTTTTTGCAATTTTTGTTTATTTTTTGTTACTTTAGTTAGAGTTATTGATAGTTTTAAAATTTTTATAAAATTGGAGTTAAAAATTGCATAAAAAGTCATCTTGCCCCGGTCACGTGACCAGATGACAAGTTTATGAACTTTTTGTTTTAATATTTATTTCAAATTGTTATATTTGAAAACTGAAAATTCATGCAGGCAATGAAAGAATTTAATAACATAAACATACTGAGAAAGTATTATGTCTTCACGACTTATAGCTTTGCAACCACTCAGGGCCTTCAAAACGTTCGCCATGTTGCCCGCTTTCCCCTATGTTTTATATAATAAAGTTTATAATAAACAGAGAAATAAATAAAAAGATATATACAATGAGCAAAATAATTGTCCGTACATTAATGAAAAGTATTTATATTTGATCAAAACAACATTTAAAGTATTTAGATAGTTGTAATTAAGAGTTTTTAAAGAAATATAATATTAAAGTAATTTTAAGTGTATTAGTTAAAAATATATTAATATATGAAAAGTTATTTAAGTTTATTTGAAAAGTGTTGAAAGTTTAAACAAAAAAATTGTCCGTACACTATGTTAATTTTTAAATTAAAGTTAGTCAAAATTAAATTAATATCTTGTTGGACCACCATCAGCTTCAATAACTGCTCTACAACGATTATTCATTGATGAGACGAGTTTAGAAGTAATTTCTTGATTAATTGATGACCAAGCATCTAAAATCAATTCTTTGAGCTCATTTTTATTCTTTGAAACTCGATCTTTCATTCTTTTTTCCACCACCGACCATAAATGTTCTATAGGGTTCAAATCGGGCGATTGTGCAACCCAATCCAACACGTTAATGCCATTTGCAGCAAGATATCTGGTTACAGATCCAGCTTTGAGCTTTGGATCGTTGTCATGTTGGAATATAAATTCCGTTCCAAGTCCTAATTTTCCTGCCGAAACCACCAAATTCCGTTCTAATATGGATCTATATAAGTGTTGATCCATTTTTTCATTAATAAATTCAATTTTGCCAACACCGGACGCACTCATGCAGCCCCAAACCATAACATTTCCACCACCAAATTTAAATGCTGCCTTCAAACGCTTCACATTATATTCTTCTCCGACTCTTCTATAAACTTTTACACCACCATCAGCTCCATATAAATTAAATTTACTCTCGTCTGACCAAATGATCATATTCCAGAATTAATCATCCTTTAGAACATGTTCCTTTGCCCACTGCAACCGTTTTCTCTTGTTCACTATGCTGATGAATGGTTTTCTACGAGGCGTCCGTGCAAAAATATTGGCTTCATGCAGTCTGTTCCTAATTGTTTGTGGCGATAATTTAATATTTAATTCATTTTCCAGCTCTTTTGATACTTCTACGGCATTTTTTCTTCTATTCTGCTCGATTTTCCCAACTATGCACCTGTCAACTTTTGGCGTTGATGATCTTTTTCTGCCTCGTACACCATTATTTGCCACTGATTTTGTTTTTAAATAGTTTTCCCATATATATTGAACAGAGCTTGGTGGTATTTTCAATATTTTTGCAACTTTTCTAATTGATAATCCATTTTCCCTATTAAAAATTACTCGTTTACGTAAGTCAATTCTATTGTTTTTTTGGGGGGAAAATACAAAGGAAAAATAAAATGTATGTGGTTGCTTAAAAATCTTATTAACTAAAATGTAATAAATAAAATTTAAATAAATTTCCTTTAAAAAAATGTAAAATAAATAGCGATTTTTTATAAACATTTTGTATTTTTTTAGCCCTACCACCTCAAGCAAACAAAATCGTGTATAGTTTAGTCATCCTCTTAAATAACCTTTAAAAGAATCAAAACCAACCCCTAATATTAATCCATAACTTGGTATCCCTGGTAACAACGGTATTTACTTTTACTCATAATACTGGTAAACAGATTTTATGCACGTTGCTATAAAAAATTTTGAAAAAATTTGTTTATTTTTATCCGATGTAATCTACTTATGGATATTGATTGTTTTAACTGACGTTACTAAAATCACTAGATTCGGTTAGAAAAAAACTTGAAAACAATTTTAAACTCGTTGTCAATGCTGTTGGTCATCAAAAAGTTTTAAAAAAACAACAATGAGAAGATTATGTCATGCTTTTTTGCATTCAAACAAGTTCCGAGATTTCCAATGAGAGTGTATAGCTATTTATAACGGATTTAGATTCTTAACAATGGACTAATCATGAAAATATAGCAGTGTAAAGTGAACGCTTATCAAAATCATAAACGTATTTTGAATTTCAACTTAAATTTCTTGTTAAAGATAATAAACTAATTTATGAACTTGCGCGTATTATCTTTTAGTAACTAAAAATCTTGTGTGAGTTTAATTGTGGAAATAATTCTGTTGGTTTGTGAAGTTTTTCTTTGAAAAAAGAAGCAAGTGAAGCTACTATTAGATATGAAGATTACCAAACTTTTTACTAAATGTAACGGTTATTTAGTCTCTCTTTCTCTTGCAATCTCACTCTATATATATATATATATATATATATATATATATATATATATATATATATATATATATATATATATATATATATATATATATATATATATATATATATATATATATATGTATGTATTTATATTTTTTAAAACATTTGATCTCAAAACTTGTCAAGGTGGAGTTAGAACAAGATAAATCTGCCCTTCGGGCATTTGTTTTTGTAAGTTACGTTCTAAATGTCTATTAAACGTTTTTTAAACTTCTTTTAAAGATTCTTTACGTTAAAAAGACATTTCAAATACATTTAGAACGTAACCTTTAAAAACAAATGCCCGCTGGGTGATTATGCAAAATATGGGGTAAAGGTGCTTTGTTTTGGGTTTTATTTTATTTCAAGAAGCTTTTTGTTTTATAACTTTTTTATTTGACTTCAGTATAAAACATAGAAGTATAAAGTACTGGAGTTAGGTGTTAATAATTCACCAATGTTGGCAGGTTAAATAATTAAAATACCACTAAATGTAAAAATGTCTTGTGATGTTATTAATTCCCGTTTTAACCTAATTACGTTTAGTATTCTAAATGTATTTACAATTCTAAACACAGTTGAAAGAAAAAAATTAAGTTTAAAATATTATTGCTACAAAATTTACATGCAAAAATCGAACACTCGATAAAAAATAGAGCTAAAGATTATTTTTTTAAATAACAAATCCTCACTAGAATAAAGTTGTTTTTAAAGGAATCTTGAAGTCTATGTTATTAAACCTTAATTTAAAATAGTTTATGAAAAAGTAAAAATTTTAATTTTAAAATATCTTGAAGTGAAGAATAATTTTGTAGGAAAAATAAACAAATAGACTAAATAATAAAAATTAGGCATGTTCATAGTGTAAGAAACTAAATAATGAACGCTTTAAACATAGGTGTAATAAAGTCAACACACAAAAGTGTTACTTAACTAATTATTATGTGTGCTTTGAGCCACTCTAACTCGCACCCTAAAGCATGTATGTATATGTATGTGTTCGTCTATGTTTATCTATCTATCTTTTAGATCGATTTCATAAATAACCTTTTTGTTTACAGTAAGATTTATTTAATTCATTTAAATAATTTATAACTAATTGTTTATTAATTATTTTTATTTAGCGCGTCATTATCATCCTACCAATAACACTAGTTCGTTAGGAGATCATAATACAAGAAGATTGGATAATGACAACCAGAAAAATAAATTAAAAAAGAGCTTCTCTTCTTCTACAGTTAATGAAAACTATTTGCAAGCTTCAAATTTAGAACCAAGACAAGTGTTACTTAGGCTTGAAAAAGCTTGTAGTAGTGACATTGTTTATATAAAGTTAGAAAATAACAACAACAACAACAACAACAACAACAACAACAACAACAACAACAACAACAACAACTTTAACAGCATTAACAATAATAACAATAATAATAGCAATAATTACAGCAACGAAGAGCTATGTTCGACACATAAAGGTTTTGAAGGTTTATATGCTAAAGTTGAAAAGAAAAAAGACAAGTTGAATAATGAAAATAGTTCGGATTATAATCTTACCAGCAGTAACTTACCAAGAACAAGTAGTTGTACATCAAAAACAGAAAATGGTGCAACAGAAGCAAAAGTAATAAAGCGTAAAAAAATACTACAATCGCAATTGAGCGTTGACACAGATAAAGAGCTGATCAGGATTCCAAAAAACAAATCTTCAATAGGTAAAAATAAATTTATTAAGATTTTATATATGTATAAAAATATTTATTACAATTAAAAAATATTAAATAAAACTTTTACCTCACTATCTATTAGTTAATTATATTCATAGGTATTAGTATATCAGGTGGAAAATCTCTTAATTACAATCGCAGTATTAAAATTACAGCATTACATCCAGGGGGTGCAGCTGACGGGAGTAACTTGAAGGTACCAAATGCTTGTTTAGTTATAAGAACAAAAATATTTTTATTTAAGTATAAATAAGCAGGCCTGTCGTTATACTTTTATTCTTTTCGGAAGAGCTAACCGGTACAAGGTATATAAGGGGCTGCTACTTTTTGAATTAAATACTTTCTTAAATTAATTTAAAAAGACTAATTTTTTTTAATCAACTCATTTTAAATTGAAATTTCTTGATATTTATTTAACTATAACAACTGTTTGATATAATTGTACAGTGGCGTCACTATAGAGGTGCGGAGGGCGTGGGATGAACGGGATTACACCATCACAACCTGACACAGAGGGGTGACACCAAAATGAAAAAAAAATGAAAATATGAAAGAACTGCTTATGTTCGTGTTAATTTATTATTGAGCTTGGCATAACCATTGTTATGCCAAACTCAGGGGTTTTTTTTCAGGTTTTTTTGATACTCTTTATGAACAACTCTACTATTCACACAAATTTTTTTCGAACTGAGTGACACCAAATGTTTACCGCACTGGGTAACATCAACCCCAGGAACGCCACTGTAATTGTATATTATATCGTGACTCATATTGTGTGCAATATTCTGTTTAATATCGCGTTTGTTATATCTTGTTTAATATCGAGTCGAAATCTTCATTATTTTTTTTTTAAATTACGCGATTTTGAATACTTAAAATTTCATATTTTAATATTATATATCTTCAATATTTCTTTGAAAAGATTTTGTAAAACGTATCAAGTAATTATAGGACATAAAAAAATAATATTAAGTATTGAAACAGTTACGCTTTTAGACAGGCCAAAATATTGTTTAGGAAGAGTTAAACTTAAAACAACCTCAACTAATGACGGGCCTGATTTAAAATAAGATAAAATTATACTTTTTTTCAAACAATTTCAGTAACTTTTTTTAAATCAAACTACAATTACGTTACGTAGGTTGGTCAAGTTATATTGTCAGTTGATGGTAAAAGTTTGCTAAACGTTACACACGAAGAAGCTGTAGATTTAATCAGAGATTCGTTTTATAAAAATAAATCACCAACTATCGAGTTTATAGTTTATTAAATGTTTCGATGGTTATTTTTTCTTTAGAACTTTTCTTAATATTTAGTCTTTTCATTAATAGTCTTTTCCTAAAAAATTCAACTAAAAAAATATTTTGTATATAGCTACTGTATTTATTTAATTTTGTATAAATATAGTTTTGAATAAAATTGAAAATTATTATACTTAATGATCTGAGTATTGTTTGGAAATTCAAATGAAATAAAAATAATTTTAAATAGTTGATACCTATAATTATACCTGGAGATTATGTATTATTTGAACATTCAAATACAAGTGGTGACGATTAGGTATTATTCAAAAGTTTATATACAAGCGCTGAAAATTTTTTGCAGCAGGTAATTAATGAACTGAATGAAATGAATTTTTTGAAATGAATTTTTTGCAGCAGGTAATTAATGAACTTTTGCAGCAGGTAATTAATGAACTGAATTCATTGCCATTTCCATTTAGCATACAATTGAACGAGAGCACAGATAAACTACAGTGTAACCAGCTCTTAGTGTTTGTACATTATGAACATCTAAAAACAAATAGTATGGAAAAAAAGTTTCTATTTTGCGACTCACCTTCAGGAATACAAAAGTAACAAATGTTTTTAGTGTAATGAAAAGTTTTTTTGCAAAACACGACATCATTTGGAATTATAAGCTTCGCAGATTGTTTACTAATAGTAGGGGGGAGGGGGTCCAAATTTTTTATTTCTTGTTTAACCAGTTATTCTTAATTAATTTTTTGAGAAAGGTTAAAAAATTATTCAGTTTTTGCTAATAATAGAGCATCTGCAATGCTTAGAAACACTTTTGGTTTCGCAGCATTAGCCGAGAAAGAGGTTATTAATGTTACGGAAATTTATTGCCTTTTACACCGACATGCATTAACATCACAAAAGTAGCCTAATTTTTTGAGATGAGTTTCAAAAAAGTAGGCAAAGTTTGAAATGATTTCCATGTGTATCAAAACAATTAACTTCATAAGAGCTAGAGCGTTGAATCACAGGTTGTTTAAGAAACTTTGTCACAAATGGGATCTTACCACGAAGTATGCTTTCTTCATAAACTGACGTGTTTTTGCAGCGTAAAAATTTAAAGAAAAAACTTTATATACTTTTTTTTTTTTTTTATTTTTTTTTTTGCCGTTTGATATATTTACAATAAAGATATATTACATTTATAAAAATTGGCCGGAGCAAGAAGAAGACAATAACTGTCTTATCACGGAGCCCCGTTTACAAATTGTCCGTGTTTATAAACAAATATAAATAAAATATACAAAAAAACGTTAAAGAGTACATAACTTTTGTCAAATAATAAAATGACATTTATATTAAAAATTTAAAAATAAAGAAAGTTTTGTATAATAATACAAATATATTTGATACATATAACAAAATATATTAAGTGCTGATGGAGGCGCCTTTTCTATTTTAAAATTAACTTTAAAAAAAAAAATTTAAAGTCTTTTGATTGATTAGATTGAATTAAAATCTAATTGAAGTAAGATTCTTTTAGAAACTGTTTTAAATTTTTTTAAAGAATATTGTTCTTTATTAAAGTATTTAATAAAATTTGTCCATAAAAAAGTTACTCGATATTGAATTCGATAAGAACTTATTTTTAAATTAATTCTCGGAACAATAAAGTTATTCTCTGAAAACTTTGTTGGATACTTATGTAATATTTCGCTAAAATAAGATTGAAATATAAGTGGAGATATTCCATGTTTCATTTTAAACATGAAAAGTAATGTTTGGTAAATGTTTAGTTTATAAATGTTTAAGGCCTTGAGATGATTTAATAGTGGTTCGCAATAAACAGTTCTGTTTGCCCCAAATACAATACAAGCATGCTTTTGTTTACTATAAAGTTTTTTGAGCTTTCCGTAATTCGTACTTCCCCATGCAATGTTGCAGTAAGAAAGATAGCTGTGAATAAATGAAAAATAAACTTTTATTAGAGCGTTCGTGTTTAAAAATGGTCTTGTTTTATAAAGTACGGAAATATTATATGAGATTTTACTTTCAATAGATTGGGTGTGAAACTTCCATAACAAGTTTTCATCAAGAATTACGCCTAAAAAGTTAACAGTAGATTCCCTTTTTACATTTGTTTTATTGAATAAAAAATTTGGCAGTTTAAGTGGAATATTATCAACTTTATTTGGTTTGTGGAACAGGATGAATTTAGTTTTATCAACTTTTAGTGAAAGGCGGTTACTTATAAACCATTCACTTACTTTAGATAATTCTTCATTAAAAATTTTAAAATGAATTTTTATATTTCTGTGTGAATAAAACAGATTGGAATCGTCAGCAAACAATATTAGATATAACTTTTCAGATGCTAAAAATAAGTCATTTATATACACTAGAAACAATAATGGTCCTAGGATAGATTCTTGAGGAACCCCGAAACTTATAAGTTTCTTTTTGATTTCATTTGTTTCATAGGTTATGCATTGTTCTCAATTACCACATGATCCGTAGAATGATTTTTTTTAAACCCAAATTGTTTGTTGTACAGAATATTATTTGATACTAAATGATTATAAAGCCTATTATACATAATGTGTTCTAGCAATTTAGAGAAACAAGGTAATACAGAAATAGGTCTGTAGTTTGAAACATTTGTTTTTTTAGCAGACTTAAAAATCGGTGTGGTTTTTTGATGCAGAGGTTTTTTGAAATAGAGGCGGGATAGCTCAGATATGGCGGAATAGCTCAGATGATTAAAGTGTCAAAGGAAAAGTTAAAACCCGGACTGTTGAACAATAAGAGTTCAAATCTCGCCACCGCCAACTCAGCGCTTGAGTAGTACTTCGGTACGCAAAAATGTTGGTCAATAACGGACGCTACTTTGGATTAGTCTTAATGACTATTTGTGGCTGTTCCTATGCTAAGCCAACAATATCTTCGGATATAAGAACATTGTATAGAAAAAGTATAGCATGAAAACTCAAATAAAAAAAATAAAAAATAAATAAATAAAAAGAGGTTGTATTTTTGTTTCAACGTTTGATAATGGTTTACCGCAAGATTGTTGAATGACGTTTTTTGTAGCTTCTGCATATGAGATTTTATTTTCACTTTGTTCACGATAATTGAAATTTATGTTTAAAACTTGATTTTTTTGTTTTAACGTTTGAGCATGGTTTACCACGAGATTGTTCAATAACGTTTTTTGTAGGTTCAGCCTCTGAAAAATTCTTTTCACTTTGTCCATGATAATCGAAATTTATATTTGGAACTTGATTCAATAGGAATATACTCCGATTTAATTCCAAAGTTTCGTTTTTTATTTTAAGGTCTTCAATAAGATTGGAAAAAGCACTCAGTATTTTCTCTCTCAAAAAACTGAGTTCCTCTTTTATTTCTTTGTTTTCCATTTGAATTGCTTTCGAAACAATTGCCAATTCTTTTAATGCAGAAACAAAAAATTTATTACTAGGCAGAGTTTCATCGTTTTTTGTTGATATGATTGCTTTCCCTATTTCTTTGTGTAATTGTTTTTCGCATAACGATATGGAGAAAAAATAGATATCTTCTATACTTAATGCTATTTTGTATCTTTTACGGAAATTTTTATCAACAGGATTTTCATAGTCTAAAGTTATTTTCATTTCATCGAATTGCTCGGTATCAAATATGTCAAGAACTTCAGCAAAATAGACGTTCACGAAGATTTCGAATTAAGTTTTCCGAAACTAAGATCATTAAATCTTTTGGGTGAGAACAAGTTACTTTAATGTTTTTTAGATAATTATCTTCAAATGCATTAATGTCGGATTTTAAATACGAGAATATCTCACTGAGTGACTTGGCGCCATATTTTTAATGTAAATGAAATCTATTTTTAAATCACTTCATTGATAAAAAAAACATATTTTAAATATTATTGTTATTATAGTAATAATAATAATATTTAAAATATGTTATTTTATTCAGTCATTAAAAAGGTTAACCAGGGCAAAAATCATCAATTAAGAGATTATAAAATTGTTTTATTTATTTTATTCTGAAATATATATTATTAAATAAAAAACGCTTAAATTTAGACTTCAAAATGTTAATTCGAAATGTGATTTGAATTGCGAATCAAGACCAGCTATGATTTGCGATTCAATACGAAGCAAAAACTGCCAATTCACAGGGCCCTAGTTTTACCATAAATCTTTAAAAAGCCTTTAAAAGTACTATTTTCTTTATAATAACAAATTTATAACAATTATTTTTAAAAATAATTTGATATAAAATTAAGATAATTTTTTGGTAACTCTTTTTTAAAAAATCATAACAAGCTTTATTTAAGAATTAAACTTAAGGATTAAATGAAAACAAATTTAAATTTATTTACCAACACATGATACCAAGTTTTTTGTGCTACCAAACAATATCATCGACTAAAGGTGCAAACACAAATCCATTTTTATACAACATGCGTATAACTTTACAGGAAAAATCTGCTTTATTTATTATACATTTGTCAGACAGATATTTTTTTTTAATATGAACAATATTCAAACTCTTTGAATCACATGGTTGTTGAAAAGCGATAAATCTGCAGTTAAGCAGCCTAAAATAATTTTAATTTTTTTGCTTGTTGCGATCTCGCGTGGAGACATGCTTAAAATGGTGACTTTTTAATATAAACAGAGAATATTTATTGGCTTCACTACATACATCAACTATCTTATAGTCTGCTGCTACAAGGAAGTGCTACTACATCAACCAAGGGTTTGGCATGGGGTAGCAATCTTTTTTCTTTCATTGTTTCAAATAATATTTTGATGGTTTAAAAAACCTCTAATGACAAGAGCGTAACAAGCAAAAATATATATATATATATTTATATATATATATATTTATATATATATATATATATATATATATATATATATATATATATATATATATATATATATATATATATATATATATATATATATATATATATATATATATATATATATATATATATATATATATATATATATATATATATATATATATATATATATATATATATATATATATATACATATATATGGTTTGAAAAACCTCTAATGACAAGAGCGTAACAAGCATATATATATATGTTGAATTTTGGTTATACGACGTCGCGACTAAAAGTCAACCGTAAATCAACGTCGAAATAACGTCGTATGCCCACT